TTAATCGAGTTTTCCGCCTAAAATCCGGTGAAAAAGCCTAATTCGGAATTTGTTAAATTCAAGCAATTCATTTAATTACACCTACACCATTTAATTACAGCTTACACCATTCAATTAAACGCAAAAATTTTCAGATTAATGCTTCTATCTAATCGGCTTAAGAATTTATATTTTGAAAAACTTATCTCCATTTTTAGGCAATCGCTCTCCGATCCATCGACCCGCGCTCAAACTCTCCAGTCCAAGTGTACCCCCAGCAAGTTGAAGTGAAGATTAAGGAAGGTATGTACAGGTCCATAACGAAAAGTAAACAAGAAAAGCATGATCTTACATCTAAAAAACATCTAGGTTAATTCATTGTCAATTTCCAGGCGAGTCGATGGACGTCCCCTTCAAATTCCTGCACAAGGAAACCTCCGGGGGTGCCCAGATCAAGGACTTCCAAATTATGACCTCCAACTTTTCCGGGACTGGCGTTCAAGTGGATTTTGTTATTGACTGCCATGGGTATAATACTTTTCAGTACAAATTATACCTAATTACAGTAAAAAAGTGAGCGCCAAGAAGTGCGAGAAGGTGCCGGATGGAACTGAACTTTCCGTTATCGCCAAGGTAACGTAATTTTGAAGATGAATTTATCTATATCTGCAATTTTCAGGTAAAACTGACAGCCTGCTCCAGCTCGACCGGCTCGATCCCGATCACTGTTGGAGCTTATGGTGCTCGATCTATTGGAGCTCTCTACGTCAGCCCACTTTGTGGATGCGAGTGCGAGCGCTTTAACCAGATTGTAAGTTAAGTTATTATCGTATTGTAATCGTAATTATAAAAAAACGTACCCTCGTTTTTAGGAAAAGAACTCCCCGCTCTGCTACAGCCACGGTAACCTCATCTGCGGCAAGTGCGAGTGCCAAGAGGGCCGCGGGGGACACAATTGTGATGTGGGTTTCGAACTCATCGTCCCCTTAAAAACGTCTTATAGGCTGGATTTCTGTGCTTTATAAACATCTAAATAAGCGTTTGAACGCATAACTTAAGGACAAGAAATATTTTTAGTGCCCACTCTCGCTCTACAACGTCAATTCGGATGCCGAGCTGACCGACAAGTGCCGAGAGTACGTCTCATTAATTGCTAAATTTTGCGCTACCTATCGAGAGCCCAAAAAAAGATATATGAAAGCTGTTTTTAGATACCTTTCGGGTCCGAAAAAGTATATTATATTAACACTCGTTTTTCAGATACTCCGGCGCACCGGTCTGTGGCGGTCATGGTGAATGCAAGTGCGGGCAGTGTGTTTGTGAGAACCCTACGGTAAGTTAATGCAGCTAAACCTTTACGAAAATCACTTTCAGACAACCGGAAAATTCTGCTCCTGTGAAAATGGCGTGTGCCCGAAGGGAGGTCCGACGAATCAGGTTTGTCGCTTAACATCACTTAATTAGGTTGGGCTTCAAGCTACTAAAGCAAAGCTCTGAAAGTATGCTGATGGCTAGATGCGTCTGTTAGTGTGTGCTCTGTCAAAATAGAAACTTGGGAGAAAGTAAATTCACGTGTGCGTGTGCTACTAATTTTGTGACCGTGCCCTTTCTGCAGACTTGCTTCGGGCATGGCGTGTGCCAATGCGGTGTCTGTCAATGTGAGGAGGGATGGACGAGGGAGGACTGCAGCTGCACCACTCAGACCGTCACTTGTATCGAGGGGACTGTAAGCGATGATCTGATTCTCTGATTCTAGCTCTCTCTCTCTCTCTCTCATTCTCTCTCATTCTCTCTTCGTCTTTCTGGACTCTCCTAAATACGCCACGAAAGTTCACTTTCTGAAACGCTGTCTTGGGACCTTGACTACACTTTCTCTCTCTCCCTCTCTCTCTCTCTCTCTCTCTCTCTCTCTGTCCATCTCTCTCTCTCTCGCTCTCCTCCAATCACTCTCTCCCTGTCTCCTCATGCCCTCCCTTCAGCGCCTCTGCTCTGACCACGGCAAATGTGAATGTGGGCGCTGTGTGTGCAACGACGGCTGGACCGGGGCAACGTGTGCGGCTGAAGTATGTGTGCTAGCGTACCAATAAAGCTTGCTTGGCTTTGTTTTACTAATTTATTAACTTGGTTTGCCCGCTTTACAAGGCTGCGCAACCAGGAGAAACTGTAAGAATTAAAATTCGCAAAATTGTGTTCAAATGATCTGAAGAAGACATTCAGCAAGCTCAATTTCCAGGAACCGACTGAGGGTCCACGAAGCAAGCCCGGAGCGCCTGACCGAATTCCGGAAGAGAAGCCGGAAGCCGCTGGAAGTGACATGCACGATCTTGACAATGGATTGGCACAGACTACGGTAAGCTTCTTCAAATTTGACTAGGTAATACGTAAACATAGCTGATTACGGTATTCTGACTAGTAAATCACGCAAAAAGTTTCTCTACGTAAAACTAAGGTTTGAACATTATTCCAGGCTGCCGCTCAAGACGCAGAAGACCCGGCCTTCGATACCCCAGAAGCCCAAGAAGAACCGAAAGTCGCTTCTGCCGCCACTTCCACTATTTTCTTGGCTTTCACCGCCACTATCTTGAGATTTATCTAATTCTATACAAAGGTTGTTGACCCGTGGGTAGGCTCAGAGATAATGCCGTCAAAAATAACGTTCGTTTCCATCTATTAATTCCCCGCCAAGATTTATTATACAGTAACGCGTGCCTTGCCACTTTCCTTAAACGCCAATTGTCCACCTCCACGTTTTGACGCTATATTTATTAAACGCCCCAAAATTTACACCTTCTCCCCCCAAATTCCAATCCCGTCGGTGATGGCTCGTTTTAAAAACTACATTTTCCTTTATTGAATTTGTTGCTCTGTTTATCCCTGCTTTAATTGCATGATTTTGAGCATGAAATTCACAAATAAAGATGCGAAAATAGGATTTTGCAAGCGTTGATTTTTCACTGGTACAAAAATTCGTCTTTTTCAAAATTCCGTACTTATCAATCTTTTAAAAGCCATAGCAACGCTGTGGACAATTTATGATAGCCTAAAACAGAGATTTATTCGGCTCATAACGCCCATAAAAAATAAATGCGTAATGCACACATAAGAAAAGGAATATCCGTAAACAAAGCCGCTAGAAAAGTAAAATTTTACACGGAGATGAAGTAAGTGCATGAAGAAGACGTGAACGTACAGGATAAGACCATCATTAGCCGCGGCTCTGCGTGAAGTACCAAAATTCCTCTTCAATTTGTGGTGTCCCGCCCTCGGCAGCTCTGCCCCTTTGATCAGTCTCCAATTCGGACGTTTTCGAAAGTCTCCGCTGCTTGGCGACTTTGTTCCTCTGTTCCATGAAAGCTTTCGTTGAGATCCTGGAAGCCTCTGCCGGCCTGTTGTGCAGCGCGAAACCGTCCTGTTTTCGGATAGCTGCCTGTTGACCTTTGTTTTGATGCCTCCACTTCACGGAGCCATCCACTCGGATCCGAGATGGCGTGGAATCCAGGATTATCGGTGCCCGAAATTGCGCGCCGGGTTGCCGATGCGATCTATCATCTCCTACACCGGAAATAGAAATGCTTTCGCCGGCAACCGCGGATTGTAGCTCCGACGTGTCTTGCACGTAATTCAACAGCTGTCTGGGCGGGCAGACTGCTACTAAACGTCTCGTAGCTCTGGAGCCATTGTCTCGTTGATTTCTCGAGCTCTAAGGCTTCTCGTAGTGGTTTCTTCTGGTTCAGAAACCAGGGTATCCGTCCAATCCTCAATACCATCAATCAACATATCGTCCTCATCGACGACCAAACGGTATATGTCGGCTACGCGGGGGGGAAAATTTTACGTGGGGGGGGGGGACGGGGCAGGCAGGCCTTTTTGGATGTTTTCGTTATTTTCTCGGAATTTTCGCAGCGGCATCCGATAGAGCATCGAAAAATATACTAAGAGTTTTTGTCTTAGCTAAAATTAGTGTAATATAAAAAAGTTATGGCAAATACAAAAATAAGCTTTGAAAATCGGTTTGAGCGGCTGTTTTTCGATATTCGCGCTATTTTTTCGACATTTTAAAGATGCCATTCGATAGAGCATCCAAAAATATTTTCAGAGTTTTAATTTTAGCTCAAAATAATGTAATATAAAATAGTTATAACAAAAACAAGTATTAAACGTTGTTTTCATGGAGGATATAGAAGGAAATCAAATTTTCGACATTTTCGACATTTTTACAAAATTTCTTTTGTGCGATTCGACAGAGCGTCAAAAAATATACTAAGAGTTTTGTTTGTAGCAAAAAGAAACGCAAAAAAATAGTTAGCTCGGCTCCAACGGTCCGTCCCCCCCGCGTAAAATTTTCCCCCCCGCGTAGCCGACATATACCGGCAACGACGTATACTGTGGTGGTCCTACTTCTTCAAATGTATTGTTAAGTTCCTCGCTGGGGACCACTTCTGGTGACGCGACGAACACCTTTCGGCACTCATGCAGTGAGCCGTTGAGCGGCCTTTTCTTCGGTTCAGACCTCTCACCATCGTTGTTCGGGTTTTCTGCGTAAAAAGCTTGTTCCTTGGGGGTTTGGTGAGTTGGCTGGAACACACCGTTTGTTTCCATGTTTGGAGGGTCCATTAGCGACGCAAATGAGTTTTCCTGGCTGCAGTCGGGGGTGGAAACTGACAGACGATGATGTTCCTTCACCTCCAAAATCCGGTCCGCCGGCATGGTTGTCAAAGCCGAGCCGCGTGAATTAAGTATCGCATCATGGGAGTCCGCTGAGCCATGTTCCGACTCAGATGCAATCGAAGGCACGTCGGGGTTCATAGAAGCGTTCGATTCAGACTTGCATTGGGCGGCTTGGTTGCGGGCATTTGGGCCTTTATCCTCGAAGTAGGCAAAGATGCTCGTCTTGTGAATTTCCATACGTTCAAAACCGTCCGGCAGCCGAAGTAGCTCGCTCTCGATCCGGACGACTTCAAAGCTTGTCTTGAAAAGTTGTGGATTCTAAAATGAAAATGACTTTCTTGAAACGAAGTCTATACCTGCTTTGCTTCCAGGTTAATTAGCTCTAGCAGTTGGGCAGAGGTCCTACGGAACCTTGGCGTTGCCGAGCAGCTAAAAATTCATACTATGTGAAAATTTCCGAAGCGTTGGTTTTAGCGAAATTGATAGGTAATAAACCTACGCCTGGATAAAATCGGCGATGAAATCGTTTCCTTCGAGAGGTGGTATCTTCCATTCACCACGCCGATGAAAGTCGAGGAGTTCCGGCATGGAGATTCCAATGAAGCATTGCCTAAAGAAACAATGCTTTTGAATGTCCCCGTTGAAGGGCACCAAGAAGCTTCCGGTCAAATGACTTACCTTCGCGTAACGAGTTCCCAAATCGCCACCGCGAGCCCCCACATATCAACCGCGAAGTCGACCTGTAAGAGGTAGCGCCATGAGTTTGTGAAAACAGCCATCACCGACAGCAAATGCACAAAAGTCGTTCTACCGTCTTATCCGCCAGGGCACGTGGATCCATGCACCTTGTCGTCCCAGTCATTGTTAATTCTTCCTCATCCTTCCAACTTTCCACCACCGAGATGTTGAAATCACCGATTTTCACAATTCCGCGTAGATCCAAGAAAATGCTAAACGACTGCTTTTGTAGAATGAAACTGCGCCAACTTTTCCAGCTTTAAATCTCGGTGGATTATGCCAAATTTGTGGAGGTGTGCGAGACCTGTTAGCATGTGCTGGACGCCGGCTAGCACATCCGCAGCTGCGTAATGCAGACACGGATTTCTTCGAACTAAATTACGAATGAGATTTGCGATTTATTACTCTAAGGACCTTGGCTTCATATAAGCAAGATTCGCACACAAAGTTAAGCCATTCTTTGGCACCAGTCTTTTCCCTCTGGATTTCTCCCTCTCGCTCTCTCTCACTCTCTCTTACTCTCCCCCTCTCTCTCTCTCTCTCTCTCTCTCTCTCTCGCTGGCCCAAAAGTCTGTCTCTATCGTTCTCATTGGACACACCGTCTTCCAAAGAATGCGGCATATAAGGGAAGCTCAACGTAGTGAAAACCCAGTCATCATGTTCATCGGTTCTTGCTCCGCTCATCCTACCTTATATAATTTGGTCGCGTTTCTTTGTGTGTGTGTGTGTGTGTGTGGATGTCACTTTCGAGGCCCGATTTGAGGGAATTCCCGTGTCCAAAATGCCTTAATTCTCCGTCACCCGGGGGAATCGACCCTCCTCTTTCCGATGGCGCTTTCAGAATCCAGATAAAATACAAGTTTAGAAAGTTAAAGCCGGTTTTATTGATTTTTGGGGGTCCGGGAGGGCTCATTTGCATAATGTGAAAAAATACAAATTTCCTCATTCTTGCCAGTTGCACTCGCGAGTTTGGTCGTCTCTTTGGATCTGCCTCTCGATGCGTTTCCTCCCCTGCCCCGGGCAGTCATCTTGAGGCATAAAACGGGTGTTTGACGCGTGCTGCCAAGCATTGCATGGCGTAGTGGTAAGCGCTTCCCCGTGCTAATCCAACCATCGGAGGCTCGATCCTCGGATATCGTAGTTGTTTTGCTTTTTGCTCGGAAAGTGCGTTTCGGAGTAGATTTCCGTGTAGAGAGGTTATTATGAAGTTAGTCACTCAAGCCGCAGCCTATAGAATGAAGCTACCCACTCAAGCATGCGCCGCAGGCCAAGGAATCAACCTACTGCTCAGGCTAGCGCCGCAGGCTTTAGAACGAAGCTAGCCGCACAAGCCAGCGCCGCAGGCTTAAGAACGAAGCTAGCCGTACGAGCTAGCGCCGCAGGCTTAAGAACGACGCTAGCCGCTCAAGCTAGCGCCGCAGGCTTTAGAACGAAGCTAGCCGCTCAAGCTAGCGCCGCAGGCTTTAGAACGAAGCTAGCCGCTCAAGCTAGCGCCGCAGGCTTTAGAACGAAGCTGGCCGCTCGCTAGCGCCGCAGGCTTTAGAACAAAGCTAGCCGCTCAAGCTAGCGCCGCAGGCTTTAGAACGAAGCTAGCCGCACAAGCTAGCGCCGCAGGCTTAAGAACGAAGCTAGCCGTACGAGCTAGCGCCGCAGGCTTAAGAACGAAGCTAGCCGCTCAAGCTTGCGCCGCAGGCTTAAGAACGAAGCTAGCCGTACGAGCTAGCGCCGCAGGCTTAAGAACGAAGCTAGCCGCTCAAGCTAGCGCCGCAGGCTTTAGAACGAAGCTGGCCGCTCAAGCTAGCGCCGCAGGCTTTAGAACAAAGCCAGCCGCTCAGCTAGCGCCGCAGGCTTTAGAACAAAGCTAGCCGCCAGCTTGCGCGGCAGGCTTTAGAACGAAGCTAGCCGCTCAAGCTTAGCGCCGCAGGCTTTAGAACAAAGCTAGCCGCTCAAGCTTGCGCCGCAGGCTTTAGAACGAAGCTAGCCGCTCGAGCTAGCGCCGCAGGCTTTAGAACAAAGCTAGCCGCTCAAGCTTGCGCCGCAGGCTTTAGAACGAAGCTAGCCGCTCAAGCTTGCGCGGCAGGCTTTAGAACGAAGCTAGCCGCTCAAGCTAGCGCCGCAGGCTTTAGAACAAAGCTAGCCGCTCAAGCTTGCGCCGCAGGCTTTAGAACGAAGCTAGCCGCTCGAGCTAGCGCCGCAGGCTTTAGAACAAAGCTAGCCGCTCAAGCTGCGCCGCAGGCTTTAGAACGAAGCTAGCCGCTCAAGCTTGCGCGGCAGGCTTTAGAACGAAGCTAGCCGCTCAAGCTTGCGCGGCAGGCTTTAGAACGAAGCTAGCCGCTCAAGCTTGCGCCGCAGGCTTTAGAACGAAGCTAGCCGCAGCCCCTCTCTCTCTCTCTCTCTCTCTCTCTCGCTGGCCCAAAAGTCTGTCTCTATCGTTCTCATTGGACACACCGTCTTCCAAAGAATGCGGCATATAAGGGAAGCTCAACGTAGTGAAAACCCAGTCATCATGTTCATCGGTTCTTGCTCCGCTCATCCTACCTTATATAATTTGGTCGCGTTTCTTTGTGTGTGTGTGTGTGTGGATGTCACTTTCGAGGCCCGATTTGAGGGAATTCCCGTGTCCAAAATGCCTTAATTCTCCGTCACCCGGGGGAATCGACCCTCCTCTTTCCGATGGCGCTTTCAGAATCCAGATAAAATACAAGTTTAGAAAGTTAAAGCCGGTTTTATTGATTTTTGGGGGTCCGGGAGGGCTCATTTGCATAATGTGAAAAAATACAAATTTCCTCATTCTTGCCAGTTGCACTCGCGAGTTTGGTCGTCTCTTTGGATCTGCCTCTCGATGCGTTTCCTCCCCTGCCCCGGGCAGTCATCTTGAGGCATAAAACGGGTGTTTGACGCGTGCTGCCAAGCATTGCATGGCGTAGTGGTAAGCGCTTCCCCGTGCTAATCCAACCATCGGAGGCTCGATCCTCGGATATCGTAGTTGTTTTGCTTTTTGCTCGGAAAGTGCGTTTCGGAGTAGATTTCCGTGTAGAGAGGTTATTATGAAGTTAGTCACTCAAGCCGCAGCCTATAGAATGAAGCTACCCACTCAAGCATGCGCCGCAGGCCAAGGAATCAACCTACTGCTCAGGCTAGCGCCGCAGGCTTTAGAACGAAGCTAGCCGCACAAGCCAGCGCCGCAGGCTTAAGAACGAAGCTAGCCGTACGAGCTAGCGCCGCAGGCTTAAGAACGACGCTAGCCGCTCAAGCTAGCGCCGCAGGCTTTAGAACGAAGCTAGCCGCTCAAGCTAGCGCCGCAGGCTTTAGAACGAAGCTAGCCGCTCAAGCTAGCGCCGCAGGCTTTAGAACGAAGCTGGCCGCTCAAGCTAGCGCCGCAGGCTTTAGAACAAAGCTAGCCGCTCAAGCTAGCGCCGCAGGCTTTAGAACGAAGCTAGCCGCACAAGCTAGCGCCGCAGGCTTAAGAACGAAGCTAGCCGTACGAGCTAGCGCCGCAGGCTTAAGAACGAAGCTAGCCGCTCAAGCTTGCGCCGCAGGCTTTAGAACGAAGCTAGCCGCTCAAGCTAGCGCCGCAGGCTTTAGAACGAAGCTAGCCGCTCAAGCTAGCGCCGCAGGCTTTAGAACGAAGCTGGCCGCTCAAGCTAGCGCCGCAGGCTTTAGAACAAAGCTAGCCGCTCAAGCTAGCGCCGCAGGCTTTAGAACAAAGCTAGCCGCTCAAGCTTGCGCGGCAGGCTTTAGAACGAAGCTAGCCGCTCAAGCTAGCGCCGCAGGCTTTAGAACAAAGCTAGCCGCTCGAAGCTGCGCCGCAGGCTTTAGAACGAAGCTAGCCGCTCGAGCTAGCGCCGCAGGCTTTAGAACAAAGCTAGCCGCTCAAGCTTGCGCCGCAGGCTTTAGAACGAAGCTAGCCGCTCAAGCTTGCGCGGCAGGCTTTAGAACGAAGCTAGCCGCTCAAGCTTGCGCGGCAGGCTTTAGAACGAAGCTAGCCGCTCAAGCTAGCGCCGCAGGCTTTAGAACAAAGCTAGCCGCTCAAGCTTGCGCCGCAGGCTTTAGAACGAAGCTAGCCGCTCGAGCTAGCGCCGCAGGCTTTAGAACAAAGCTAGCCGCTCAAGCTTGCGCCGCAGGCTTTAGAACGAAGCTAGCCGCTCAAGCTTGCGCGGCAGGCTTTAGAACGAAGCTAGCCGCTCAAGCTAGCGCCGTAGGCTTTAGAACGAAGCTAGCCGCTCAAGCTAGCGCCGTAGGCTTTAGAACGAAGCTAGCCGCTCAAGCTAGCGCCGTAGGCTTTAGAACGAAGCTAGCCGCTCAAGCTAGCGCCGCAGGCTAAAGAAGGGGGTTACCGCCAAGCTTGCGACAGGCTTTATCTCGAAACACACCGCTCGAGCCGGCGCCGCTGGATGAGGACCTGCGCCGCAGCCTAATAACGACACTAGCAATTTAGCTTGCGCCGCATGCCAATACAAAGAGGTTTGCATGGGAGATGTGTTTTTCTTTCTTCAGGGTAACTTTATGTGTAAGGGCGCTCGATTCATAGGGCCTAGACGGGGTCCAGCGGGGGAGAGTCGCGAAGCGGCTCCTCCCCCGCTGGTCATCAATAGATGAGCACCACAAGCAAAGCGATTCAATATGCTGTTGTTGAATTGCTCGCGCAAAAGAGCCCGGGTTCCTCTGCTGATCTGGATCGATGATTTTTTATGGTGGTACACTTTTCGCACGTCAAACCTGAAGCAAAATGATAGTAAAAGTCATATTAATGCAACGTACGTCCCATCATGGATGTAGATTTTGACGTGAGCGCGAGTTTTCGGCTCTACGCCTGGCGGGAAATCATGTGGATAATACGGTGGTGGGCTGTCGGCTGTCATGATCGGGCAGTTGCATCAGCACCTCAATGCCTCTAACTTTCAGCGGGGAGCTTGTGCAGAGCTGATCGCTGACGAAAGAAAACACCTGCGTACCAAGGGGTGCGTATTCGCTGATAGCACGCCAGGCGGTTCGCTGACCTGATACGGTCGCCGGTTCGTGAATTTGGCTTCAGGCTTCATGTTCCAACTGAAATTTTTGGGCGTTTGAATCTCATTTTTTAGAAGATATGATTTTATTTTTAGTAAATTTCTCATACTAATGGAACGCCGACAATAGGGGACAGTAGCTTTTGATTTACCGTCTGTCCAATCGTCAAAGCTCATTTCAGGTAGCCCCGAGATCCGGGCGATACTCGGGGCTTCCCACCCGCGAAACCCAACAACAGTCGCTTCTACCGTCATTTAATCCTTAATTTCACGGCCGTTGTCTCTTGCACGCACTATACTTAACTTAACAACAATTTAATCGTGCTCCGTGTCAAAATATCTAGTCTCTTAGGAAGGCTCATCCAAAAAATGGTATTCTACTTGTATTTGGTCTTTTTTCGGTTTTCGCTGTATTTGAACCTGAATGCATTGAATAAAATCTCGCAACGATTTATTATAGGACACCACAATGTGCGTATCGATTCGGACGGAGTTCTCATGCGCGCAGCACAATCGCATGTTTGAAGTCATGCTTGTAGCCTCCAACAATTGCTTTTTTCGCGTAGCTTTGCATCGCTCCCTTCGAAACGGACCATAATGCCTCGAAAGGAACGAATAACCTTCCCATCGTGTGGAAAAGCTGGTCTCGGAGCTCCTCGGCACGCAGTCTTTCCCGGCAATTTTCAAGGGTGTTCCTGCTGTTGTTGCTGGATGTCGACGAGCGATGGTCGGCTTTTGCCCTTGGCTGAACCACCGTAATTTGATAATTAAGGTTGTTACGTGCTTCCGGCTGAGCGGGCGGCCGGCGTTTAGATCGTTGAGGCCCTTCTTGTCGGCTTAACGGGATAGCCGAAACGCCTGGCCCTGAGCTGTCTGCTTCTGCTCTGGGGCCGAGGTTCGCATCACTTTTACTTGGCGTTATTCGCTCTCTCTTTGGCCGTTCAGAAACATCATCATTCAACATCATTCCAGGTGGGGAGCTTGACCTCTCGCGCGCAAAGGCGGCATCTACCGCCTCCGGCAGGCTAGCCTGAACCCTTGCCGCGAGGTTTAACGCGCTAGCACATGGACTGCGCTGCAACCCGTCAGCCGATCCGCCGGCTGAGCTTGGCTCGGAGAAAGGCAATCGATAGCCCAGAGGATGCTCAAGCGCGTCTTCTTCGAGCTCTCCTTGCACGGCCCGGTTCTCCAAAACTGGGCCCTTATTTCGGAAATGAGTGTAGATTTTGCATTCTCCAATTGTTAGATGCTCCAGCCCCCGTGGCTTTGATGGCCTTCCATTAAGGTCCGGTACTACTTTAAAGGACCGGCTGACGAGACGCTGATCCTAATTTCAAGTTGGAATTTTGGGCAAGCGAAGCCTTACCGCTTGACGAATCTTTTCAGACAACTCCCTTGCGCTCGGTCGCAATGCCGGTGTCATCGAGCATCTAAACCCGTTCTCCTCGTTCTAAGAAAAATGTCGGCGTACAGGTTTATAATGTCGACGATCAAGTGTTGCCCGAAGAGCGGCGGCAAAATCCATTCCTTTATTTCATGGAATTCCAGCAATTCAGCCTTTGACATGTTGCAGAAGCATTGCCTATAATTCACTCTAGTTTAGGAGTTGAGCGCTCAAGACGCACCTTCGCGTCGTTAGTTCCCAAAGAACGACCGCAAAGCTCCAAACATCACAGGCGTAGTCAATCTGCCAAAAGACAACAGTTTCCGACAAAAAAATCCTCGTACCTTATTATTAGCCAGTGCTCTCGGATCCATATATCGTTGTGTTCCCGTACCCGTAAATTTATCCTGCTTCACCCAAACTTCGAGCACCGATATGTTAAAGTCACCGATCTTGATAATGCCATCATGAGCCACGAATATGCTAAAGCCGTTTGTTGTATTAATAGTCACTGACTTGTCTAATTTTAAATCCCGATGTATGATTCTCAACTCCTCGTGCAGATGCGCCAAGCCAGTAGCAATTTGGATAGCGGCAGTCAGCACATCAGCCTCCGTGTAGCAAAGATCAGCAGATTTGCGAACTAAAGATCTTATTTTAGTTTTAACGCATCCTGGCTGAAATGATTGCCCCCATTAGTCATAAACTCATTAGTCATAAATCCATTAGTCATAAATTCCATTAGTCATAAATTCAATAGTTATAAATTCCAATAGTCATAAATGTTATGAAACTGATTGCTTGGAAATGTTATTCTGTGACATAATCCTGTTAACAAATCCAAAATTAATAGGTTTAATGATATCCGATCACGTGCAACCAAGAAGTTTGATTCGAGAACACGACAAGGACCATCACATACACCTCAAAACCTCAGACCTCAAACCTCGAAACCGAAAACTGAAAACTCAACACTCAAACCTCAAAATCTACGATTAATAAAATTTATGACTATTGGAATTTATGAATTTTTAATTTATGACTAATGGAAATTATGACTAATGGAATTTATGACTAATGGATTTCGCCCGGCTGAAATGACCGGCATGACGAAAACTACAAAATCACAGACTTGTTTCGAGGGTATACGGCATGTAGTCGAAAGTGAAGATGCGGTAGACCCAGTCACCCTCCTCAATAATTCGCAACGAATCCGGAACCGTCGAAAGCAGGTAGATACATGGGTTCATATCCAGGGCAATGAGAGCAACTAGTTCATGTTCGAAGCACCGGCGTCCATTTATGAACGACGATGCGCCTTTTTTAAAACGGTAGATCTTGCGCACCCCAAACCTAAATCGCTGCAAAAGTCCCCGGACACGAGAATTACCTGCCCCGGTCGATTAGTATGTACACATGCCTTTGTTGGAAGATTTCTATGCCTGCTGGTGTACCATCCGGAAAATAAATCGGCAGTGCTTCAGAAACCATCATCTAGTTGCCGCGTTTGGCACGACGCACTTAAAGTTAGCAATTTTATGACAGCATACTTGCTATGAGCGTGGCACCGTCCACGCCAGAAAGCCTTATCGTGCTAGATTGGTCGCTGTTCACTGCATCCCTAATCAGCTGAAACGATCTGTTCGGCTTTTTGTGAGTGACTCGCGCGAATTATACGCAACCCGATAGGGCACCTGGAAAACTTCAGAATAGCTAGAAAAACTGGCAAATACCCTGTGGCGCAATGTAATCAAATTTGCTAAATTGGCAAGCATATGACGTGCTTTTGTTGAAAACGCCACTAAAAAACGTTTATTCATTTCCCATTATAATTCATTGGCAAACCAAGGCTTTATTCTGCACTAGGAGACAAAAAAAGGATGTTATATCGGGAGAAGCATCAAAAAGGAAGCTTATCCAGCAAAAGATGCAAATGCCACGAAAATAAATGCCAATCTTCGTAGAAAGACATCAAAGGTTGCTTCCGAATGAAACAGAAAGACAGTCGGCAAGATAAGGTCAGTCGTCTAGTCTCATAAGATTTTTTAATTTTCACCGCATATAGAATTTGTTTCAGCCTAGGACTCGCAGCAACTCATCCCTTGTTGCGTGGGAATTTCTGAATTTGCGGATGGCGTTGAGCTCCGCCAGCTCTCCGCGGCCTACCGGGACGACAATTCCTGAATCTGAAGTAGTCACAATTGTTGTGGCGACCAGTTCACGATTCTCCGGTTTCTGCGGCGGACAATCGATTTTTTCGAGTTCCGCCGCCTCAAGTTGCATTATATTACGGCGGTTCCTTCTTTGCGAAAGGAAATCAGAACGCATTGAACGCCTTGTTATGTAATTTTTCCAACTATCTCGTTCAATTTTCCAACTATTTCGTTCCAAACGTGTTCCCACATCAAGGGTATCCAAGGCGTTAGAGGAGGCCGATAGATCATGGCCGGCTGGCAACGCCATGTCACCGATATCCCCCGCTAGCACCGTCCTATTGGCCTCCGGATGATGCTCCCGATCCAAGGTGCCTTTCGAATCAGGTATGCTTAGGCTTGACATTGAACTCGATTTCCCTTGAAGGTTAGAAGCACAACATTCATCTACCACGTTGGTGTCGGTAATCTGGATGCCGTTCGATGCTACCGTGTCGCGTTTCATTTTATAATTCAACGAACTCCAGACGCGGGCCAACCGTGTTCCTTCTTCAACGGCATTCAAAGTTCCTGTCGAAGCAGAGAGTTTTGCAACTGTCGAAGTGAAGTCGTCTTCCACCGGTTGCACCGGGCCCAACATCTGGAGTGTTTCAGGTACAGTTGTGGTTCCAATTGAGCTCGTTCTCCCTGTTCCGGTGTTCGGACAGTTTTCATCTTCTTGCAAATTTGCAAAGCTAAGCGAGCCCACATCCTCTTCACCCGTGTTCGTAATCTGAGCAGTTTGCGTTTGCGACCGGTACCTCATCCGGATCCGGCTGCATACAAGGCTGTTCTCCTCATCGCGGAATTGCGGCTCCTCAACTTGCGTTGCCTTAAGGCAATTCACGCTTCGCGATAGGAAGCTTGTTCGCATTGGAAGCCTGACTACGTCCTGAAACGAGCTCCTGCTCCGTGCCAGGCAAGTTTTTTCCTCAAGGGCATCCAAAGTTCCTGACGAGGCAGAGGGTTTGACAGCTGTAAAAGTTAAATGGTCGTCTTCCGTCGGTTGCACTGGGGCCAAAATCTCGACAGTTTTAGGTAAAGTTGTGTTTTCCATCGGGCTAGTTCTCTGTTTGGTGGTGATCGGACCGTTTACTAATTTCTGCAGATCCTCAAAACTAGTCGGATCTGCAGGTTCATCTCCCCCGTGGTAAATTCCCTAACAATCAGAGTGAAATCGGCTTCCGCCGATTCGGAATTTATCCGCATCCGGCGGCGGTCGAGGCCGTTTCCCTTATTGTCAACTTGCGGCTCCTCATCTTGTGTCGCCTTGCGACAATTCACGCTTCGCTGAAAGAAACTAGCTCGGATTGAAGAGCTCACTTTGTAATTCAACGAACCCCAACGCCGTTCCAGGCATGTTCCTTCTTCAAAGGTATCCAAAATACCTGACGAGGCAGAGAGTTTTGCAGCTGTAAAAGTTATATCATCGTCTTCCACCGGTTGCACAGGGTCCAAAGTCTGGACCGTTTTAGGTAGAGTTGTGTTTGACCTTATGCTCGGTCTACGTTTAACCAAGATCACACCACTGTCTGCTGTACGCGAATTTCCAAAATCCCGATGCTCATCCTCAAACGTGGTATCTCCGGACGGAATCTGAGTGGCATCTGTTAAAACCGATTCGAGCCTTCCCTTGTAAATCAACGAGCTCCATGTCCGCTCCATGCTCCGTGCTCCCTTTTCCAAAGCACCAGCGGAGGCAGATCGATGAAGCTCGGCAGCATCGATATCGACCGCTTGCGTCGACTCCAAAATCGGAGCATTTTCAGGTAAAGTTTGGTTGGACATTGAGCCAGACCTACTTGCAGCATTATTTGCTTTTTGCAAATCCTCAAAGTCAATCGAAGCACAGGACGCCACCTCCATCGTTTGCTCTTTCGCAGGAATCTGAGGGGTATTCGATACGACAGAATCGAGACTTCTTTTGTGAATTAAGGAGCTCCATATCCGTTCCAACGTTGTTCCTTCTTCATGGACGCCCAAGGCACCAGCAGAAGAAGATCGATGGTGACTTGGTGCAAACGCCAGATTATCGGGCACCACCGCCTGCGCTGGTTCCAAAATCGTGACTGTCTCAGGTAAAGTGGTGCTTGACCTTGACCACCATTCGAAGGGCATCGAATTGTTTCCTACTTCCGGCAAATCATCAAAGCGAATCAGGTCAAAATGGTCATGCCCTAGCCTTGCATCTTCGGCCGGAACTCGAATCGCATCAGCGCCTGCCGAGTCGGACCGCACCGGCGTCTGGAGGCAAAGGAGGCAGTTTTCCTCTTCCTTGATAAGCTCAATGCCTTCGTCGTGGTCGCTGTGTGTAGTGATGTCTGATCCAGTATCCGATATCAGCGATTTTTCGCCACAGAAAGGGCAGGTTTCCGCTTCAAATTCGGGATGAACCAGCGGCTGGCCAACGGCATCCTCCTCATCATCGATCAGTTCGAAATTCGGTGCCAAATTCGGCAGAAAGACCTGGTCAGAATTTTCGCAGTGTTTGGGGCTATTTGTGGCAGCCCCTAAAATGTGGTGTTCATCAACTTCAGCGATCTCTTCTTCGTTCACAGGATTTGCAGCGGAGAAAACCAAGGGTGTTATTTCCCTTTCTGTTCTTTTGTGTGCAACAAAATATTTTCCCGTCACCGCTGTATCTACGTTTCGTTGCGGAACAACCTTATGAAAACCGATCACGCTAGTCGCTTCCGTGGTATGAGGAGACGTCGTATTTTGAAGGCACCAAGTATGAAACCCATTCATCCAATTGTCAAATGAGCCGTTGAAATACCGCAGTGCGGCGATCACTAACTTCTTCCGGTGCGCCCTTCTGGATCTCCTCGATTTCTTGCGGCCCAAGCTCGGTGCCCGTGTCGACCTAGCAGGCGCCACGCCGCTTGCCTTGCTGCGTTGCTGGTCCTTTTTGCCAGCGTTGCCGGGCATTCCTGGCGCCGTGTCTTCCATGCCGCACCATTGGAGTTGCCTGATCAAGAAACGAACGAGCCCTTCCCTGGGCCAACCGTCATCATCTTCATTGGGAGTCCCAACTTCAGGTTCTACTGGTGCATGCTGCGTGAACAATTGATGCTGCTCAAGTTCGTTGTAGGTCTCCGTGGGCTTCTTGAGTATCCCGACAATAGTCCCTTTTCCAACAATCCGTCCGTTGCTGCCATCGGCCGTCTCTTTCCCGGTCAACTCCGGTTTTTGATTTTCAAGGGCTGTATGCTCTTGTAACGGCATTTCGCTCTGAAAACGCATTTTAGGAAGCGGGCGATTTTGCTCTTCCGCTTTTGGCAACAGGGTTTCGTCAGGTTCATCAGGATAAAATTCCGGATTGTCGTCATCACGAGGTTTGCCATCCACCGCAAGGTCGATAGGTTCGCTAGGGAGTTCGGCTGTCGCTTTCAGCGTTGACGCCAGTGACGTAGCCACGGTTACACTTCCCACCCCCTGCATCGGGGTACGCGTTGCACCCATCTCTTCTAGCCAATTATTTACCAGCCCTGTGGGATCGCTTTTAAATGAGATAGCCCTCGAGGCCGCTGAGGTCGACGGAAGCAGTGTTGTGCATATGGCCACCGTATTTGCCTCGCTGATTCTCTTAGCAGTATTGTGTTTAGCGCCTTTGTTGAACCAATCCGGACATCGTACCGCTTTAGCCCGCTGTATCACTTTCGCCTTACCGCTTTTGATTATGCTATCCCATTTCTTTTCTTGTGTCTTATTTAGCTTTGTGATCAGTGGCTGGCTCTCCAAATCGGGAGCAATTCTAATACCATGCAGCATCCTGTGCCAAGCCCTTTTTGTTATTTGCCATCCGTTGAGCTTCACCGTTGCCTTCGGCACGGCCGGTTGGATGGAAATCTCCGATTTGTGGCTGCATACAATTTTTGAACTAACAGCATCGATCGACAAAGAGCCGGCATTGGTCGGGCAGAATTGTGCATCCGAGCCAGTTTGACATTCGACCGCCTGATTTTGCATGGCAGCTGCATCAGGCAACGCCGGTGGGATCGAAACCTCCGATCTATGGCTGCACGCACTTTTCGAACTAGGAGCATCGCTCAATGAAG